AACACAATATTTTATATGATAATCAAACTCTAAGGATACATCAACGGAGACAACAACCAGATATCAAAAACTCACTCATCACATTCTTGAGGCCACACATCTTTACATTGGGAAATTACATACTTTCTTTTCTCCTCACAACACTCACTCTTAAACCTATTTATATGCTCATCTCAATCGACTTTCTATAGCTATTCTTCGTATTTTTTCATGACAAAAATGTTAAGGGTTAATGGTTAAAAGGGGGAGAAGGATGCAAGGCTCGAACATGGACTCCCGAACTGGGAAACTACCCAGCCACTCAGGTAACACAACAATTAATATTCTTCCTATAAGTTTTAAGTATTTTTATATTAATATTAATAACCATTTTTTTATTAAAGTTTGTTAAATTTTGTTTAGTCAAAATGGCACATTTTATTTTATTTTATTATCTTTCATCAAGGTAAGCATGATTTTTTTTTCTTTCTCAAAATGGAATCAAAGTATTAAAAAAAAAATTTTTTTTTTGAAACAATTGTCGAACGAAAATGAACTTTTTAACAATATTTTTCTTTACCAAATCTCTTTTTACATAAAACTTATCATTTCCTAGCCTGTATATCTTTTCTTCTTTATATCTAATGTCCTCTCTAGTGAAATTCTATCCAAGAAGGGCGTCTCCCCACCTCCAGTCAGATAAGTCATGAAGTATTGACGTAGAGATTTAGCCTTAAAAGAATTGTTTGCATCCAGTGGGAGTCGAACTCAAATACTTTACGAGACACCACCAGAGTCAAGTGTCCTAACCGATGGGCCAATCCCTTGGGGTTGTCCCCTCTAGTTATTTAGATTTCATTTTTCTCATATTTTCAATTATATTTTTCTCAATATATATATACCAAAGCTAATATTATAAAAATAATTATATTATAATTGATTTCTAAAATTTTCAAATTTTAATTAATTTCACGCAATGCACAATAAATTATGATATGGATAGTCTCCATGGCAAGACATTCGATAATTCTCTGCACTCTGTATAGAGTTGCATGAATTTTTATAGAACTCTCTAAATTAATCTAGCATTGCATAGATATATGATATTCTTTTCAATATCTTGGAAATCCTAGATATTCTTTTGCATAGATCGGACCAACAACTAAGCTAAACGTTTTCTCTATTCGTTCTCATAAATGCGAGTTCAAATGGCCTTTGTTATTTTGTTGGGTTTACAAAACAATGGGTCACATTATTAAACGTCTTCCTACACTATCTTCGATTTTCATCTAATCTCAATTTAGTAAATTATTATACTTTTGTTAACAGCTTCTTAATCTCTTATTATTTTTTAGTTCATGTTAAACACCTTTTTAATTTAATTTATTAGCTTCTTGTTAATATATTTTCAACTCTTGTTGGCAATCCATATTGTCTTTGAAAAGTTTTCAGTCTTCTCGAATTTTACATGATTTTGTGCTTGTTTCCTGAATTAAAGAGTTCTTCATTTTCTCTAAATGATGGGCTAATTTCTTTATCTCAGAGAGAGAATGACAAATTATTGTTGGAGATTATTAATTCTCTCTAACTCACTCAAAGATAGGTTCTTATTAAGTGTTAAACTCTCTTTTCATCACGTACAGCGGAAGCATATCACATCAACATAAGCATATATGGTGATAACAATTATACATATTCACGTACAACACAATATTTTTACATGGTTCACCCAATTCTAGAGTTACGTCCATGGAGAGAGATATTTCACTATTATGAATTAAGGAAGAGAATATACAACCATATGTCAAAACCCCACTCACTCACTCATTATTTCTTTTGAGACTATTTAATGTTTATATATATATATATATATAAAAGGCTAGTGGGCCCCACCAATTAAACATAACAAAATGGCCTAAAGGCCATTGACTAGATGGTTTTTATTTATTTATTTTCTTTGCGTATATCTCTCTGCGTCCAGTCTCTCTTGGCAGTTTCTTTTATTTTTATTTATTTATTTTTTTTTTATGCAATTTCAAGCTTTGATCTAGCTTTACTCCTTTGGAATTTAGTAGAACTTTGTGAAGCAAAGTCGGAAAGCTCGTCGAGACCTTCAATTTGATAGGAGTCAATCACCATTTGGCTAAGCTTAGGGATTCCGGAAATTAGGGCTTAGATTTGGGAATTTTGGGGGTTTTCACTTCCATTGAGGTAGGAGTGTTCTAATCTACAATTTCTTGATTTTTATGTAAATTTTCCCCTTAAATTTGATCATAAGCATGCTAATTTTGATTACCTAGTTTGTAGTTGTTGTAAGTATGATTAATCAAAATGATAAGTGTGTTTCATGTGTTATTCGAATTCATATATATGACTAGATTCATTACGGTGGATGAGCATGCCTAGTGTTGACATATTGTATGCCCCATGATTATTTATTTATTGTTTTGAAAAAAAAAAAAAAAATTAATGCTATGGTTATAAATAAATGAAATAAATGAATGTTTAGAAATTCTTAGTAAATTGTGATGATGATGTAAATGGAATGTGTGAAAGCCTATAGTTGAATTGATGATTAGAAACACGAAGCATTCATGCATCCATCGGGAAGAGAAAAGGAAAAAATGTTTTCAAAACAAAGGAAATAAATTTTTGGGAAAGTATTTCTAAAAGTGTTTGCGAAAACCGGACACCTAGGAGGCGCCTAGTGGTCCGTGATGTTGGTGTAATCTAGAAGGGAATGTAGTTGAGTTAACTAGGCCGGATGTGACGCCTTGGAAGTGCCTTATGGTCGTGGATAGTTAACCAACCTTCCTTTCGTGACGCCATGGAGGTGCCTTGGGTCGGATTACACTAACGGTTTGGTTGTTGAAACGGAATTGTTTCAGAAATGGGGAGTGACATTTGCATAACATTGCACTTTATGATATTGTGGTAAACTTGTGATTGGTTGATATTTGTTATATACTTGTTATTGTGGTTGAAAATGTGCGCTTCCCTATGGCATAATCCCATTCACCTTTCATCTATTCATTGTATGGATTCACAGGGACATAAGAAGTGTGTCTTAGACACTTCCTACTGAGCTTATGCTCACCACATTATTTTTTAAACATTTTTTAGGATATGAAAAAGAGGTGGTGGACAACGATCCACCACAGATTTAGACAAGCTTGAAATCTCATTTTATTTTGCTATCTTTTGTATTAGAACCTTAATATTTTGTAATGTACTCTTAACTATTTTGTGAAACTCTAGTTTAATGGGTACAATGTTGTAAGTTATGAACTTTTAAATTCTAATTATATTTTATGGACTGTAACTCAATGTAACTAAGATGTGTTTTTGTTTAGATGAGGTGGTGGAATGAGATTTTTGATATGTATGTAATTATTTTGGGAATGTGATGTAATACTTGAATTGTGCGTTGGGACATGATGAGTTATTTTTAAGGCCCAGTGAGGCCATTGTATTTTTTTTTTGGTATTTCAACAGGTTGTAGAGGTACTTTTTTTGCGGAGGTCATGCCGAAATTTTATCTATTTTATTATTATTCTTTTGGTATCTAGTTGGGTCGTTACAGACTACATGTATACACTCGAAAATTATACTCTCCTCTCCTCTCCTCAGAATACTCACCCTTAAATCCTTTACATTTTTTTCTCTTCACTTACTCTCTACCCATCACTATTTCTAAGTTTCAAAATTCAACTCTTTATCGGATAAGTATTCCCCAACTTATCTACAAGGAGTTCTAATATCAGTATTCAATTTTAAAATAGTTGGCATAACTTCTATCCCAAATCTTCAGCATTTTTCCTAAATCTTTTGGCTTCCAAAATTGATTTGGAAGTTATTTCTTGTATAAATCAAACAACAGCAGTCGATTCAGCTAAAACGCAACCAGTTTCGATTCTTCAACCATTGATCCAACCATTCTGCCTAAGCGCAACCTGTTCTGCTAAAACGCGACTTGTTCCGCTTGTCCATAATAGAATTCTCCACCAAAATTTGAGTCACAACTCTAACAATCTCATATTGGCTCAAAATTCTATCTTCACGTCTTTCTTCATAATTCTACTTTGAATAAGGATTTCTTCATAACTTCACATCAATTGAAGATTTCTATACATCTAACAAAACAACACGATGAAATTAAGAAATACTCTTAACAACTATAAGAGAGAGGGGGATCAAGGAAATTGAAAATTAAACGAGCAGCGAGTAAAAAATTTAGAGAGAGAAAAAGAGGTGAACAATGATGTAGAAAGAGAAAAAGAAAGTGGTACGGGGATGAACATGAAAATTACTTGAACAAAAAAAAGTTAAGAGAGAGAAAATTGCAATTTTATACTATTTGGATGACTTATTCTATGTTTAGTGGGTTCAACCCGCTAATTATACAATTCCTTGCCAACTGATCCAAAACTCATTAGCTGTCAAATTTGGGCATAAATTCCCACCCGTGGGCCTAAATTTTATATTTGGGTGACTTAATCCATGTTAGTTTTAACTTTCAAAATATTACTAGTAGAATAGTATAAAATAATTATCATAAGAAACAAAATAATTCATTCAACAAAAAGTGAAATATCAATTGCATTTCAAATATATTTGCAATATTTATTCATTGTAAATGAGTTTAAATATATTAACTTGTGCATTATATATGGAAAAAAAATAAGGGTCATCGATCAAATAATTCTCAACAATATAAACATTATATAATGATGGGCTCTATAATCTGCATATCGAAAATCTTTTACAAGAATTTATTTATCCAAAATGATACTACATAATCCAATTACATAAACAGTGTTTAAAAAGTTGGTTAAGCATACGAAACTCCCATCACTGCTGAATTTGAAGACTGTTTTTTTACCGCCAGATAATGTGGTTAGGCTGTTTTCCATTAGACCACAAAAAAATCATGATTTAAATTACTAAAGTACCCCTCGAAAAATGACCACAAAAAAATCATGATTTAAATTACTAAAGTACCCCTATTTTGTTTTCTTATTCAGCACTTTATTGATGAAAACATACCAACTCCAAGAATTGTTTGGGGGTGTTTTTAATTCGAGAAAATCATACCTTAAAAAAAAAAAAAAAAAAAGGTTTTTTAGTTCTTTGAATCAAATGGATACCTTTCTCTCTTTTTTCTTCTTCTCCTCCTTCTTTACACACACAGCTTTATGTATCCATAATTGCTCACCATCCTCCTGCGATGATTCCGAGCTGCCATTAGTCCAATTTCCGTTCCGGCTACTCGGCCGACAACCCTCCCGTTGCGGCTACCCCGGTTTCAACCTTTCATGCAACAACCAGAACAAAACAGTTCTAGATCTACCCTCCTCCTCCGGTGAATTCATCGTGAAAAGTATTAACTACGCCTCGCAATCCATACACATCAGTGATCCCAATGGTTGCCTTCCCAAAAGGATGCAATCCTTCAGTCTTTCGGACTCACCTTTCTCAGCTTATCCCACCAACTTCATGTTCCTCAACTGCACTTTATCAGACTGGCACAAGTACTTGATGTCTCGTCGGAGCGTGCTCGTACCTTGTCTCAGCAGCCCCAACTACAGGGTGGTTGCTATGGATGCTTCTTCTGTAGGCGGGTTACCGCCGGGTCGGAAATGGAGAGTTGGGTTTTATGGGTACTACTGGTCCACCATGGATGGTGTTGGTACAGCAGCTATTGAGCTTAACTGGGATGTTCCCAAATGTAAAGCCTGTGTGGTTCGAGGTGGGACTTGTGGGTTTAAAAGTAATACTGGGTTGAAGATTGGGTGCTCTGGTCGTCTCAGCTTCGGTAAGTTGAAGTTTCATATATTGTTTGAGTTTTAACCAAAAAAAAAAAAAAAAAACACTTATGGGTGTGTTACTTTTACCTTTCATTACACAATGAGAGTTAACTTATATAGAGTGAGAGGTCAAGATCTTGTATGATGAAAGGTCAGGATCTATAAATGAGATTTACTTACCGTAGTGTAGGGATCTCATTATAGAGTGAGAGGTAAAGATCTATTATAAATGACATAATCAAGTCTCGGTTATATCCCCACTTTGGTACTCGAACATTCACCCAACAATCTTTCAGCTAACCTAAATCTTCTGTGTCCCTCGGCACCAACAAGGGGTTTCTATTCACCCGTTGTCCATTTCGGCTTGATCTTAGGCCCTAACTCGCCCTCAGTGAACGAACCTTGCGAAGGAACCCTTAGGTTTTTGGGGCATTGGATTCTCACCAATGTTTGCGTTATTACGTTGAGCCAAAGCCGACATTTTGGCTTCTGCTGTCCACCGCTGCTTGCCTTTTTTATTTTTTTATTTTTATAGTATCTGTACTAATGCTCATTGGTGAATATCCCCAACTCGCAGTACTTGATTATTGGATTCACAATTTCATATTTTAGGTCTTCCAAGGAGTGCCAAATATGGTTTAATCTTGGGTGTCGGAATACCTGGGCTTTTAACCTTCATTGGACTTGCATGTTACATTGGTGGCAGGACCGGAACCCATAGCCATCGAGGCCCACTTCCATCCGAACGTTCTACCATCACCACCGCTCCAGGATCAGCTGGTATTGCAACGGCAACGGGCCTTGATGGGCCAACCATAGAATCTTATCCAACGACTGTGCTAGGTGAGAGCCGGAGGCTACCCAACCCACAAGATGGGACTTGCCCAATATGTCTGTCGGAGTACCAGCCCAAAGACACCTTGAGGACAATACCAGACTGCGATCACTATTTTCATGCTAACTGCATAGATGAGTGGCTAAGGATGAACTCCACCTGTCCTCTCTGCCGGAATTCACTCGATGAACCATCCGGCGTATAGTTACCATCAGCATCATCATATGCAGTTGAGTGAAATTGATCAGATACCATGTCACCTATGTTGAGAAAGTGGCCGAGTTCCTCGTTGAATCTTGCAAATGGCAGATTAATAGAACATGTAATATATATACATATATACGTGTGCGCGCGCACACGTGTGACTGTATGGGTGTGAGAAAGAGAGAGATCCCATTCCCCGGAAGAATGAAAAAATATTTTATTATATTTCATTATGCCAAATCAACTTTTTTGTAGGAAGGCAAAATACAGTTTCATCTCTGCTTCTAAAAATGTAAATTTGGAATAAGTTATGATCACGAGTAAAATCAGAATCTACAACAATCATGTATATGGATATACATTATACAAACAAGAAGTGGGTGGGGGTGATCCGCATATGGATATACATTATTCAAGAATTATTTTAATTGGAGCCACCATTGTAAACAATTAAATAACTTATCTTTCAATTATAGGAAAAATTCAACCATATAACTAAGGTATCACACTACCTCTATCATGGGAAGGAGCAAGTGATGACGCTGAAAACTGCATCGAAAGAAGCTCTTCTCTGCTATACTTCAACCTTTGATCTGTTTCACAATTATAGAAAATAGAATTAAATGGGGTAATAATCGGCTGCAGCTTCTGGGGAAAAAACCCAAAAAAAACCAAAAACAAAAGAACTGAGGCAACCAACCCTACCTAAGAAAATATTATTATGGCGAGTAAATGATGATGTGGGCATTTTTCCTTGTTTCTTCAATTGCGAGGTAGTCGGAGTTACTCGTGATGGAGATGAGTAGCTAGAGCCTTCTTGGTCACTTTGAAGGATATGATGCATAAGTTCATGCCTCACTTCAATCTGAGGATGTTGTTTGCAAAATAGCATAATAACATTCTCAGTTAGGAGCCAACAACCCCTCAGATCCAGTATTTTTAGCGTCTTTGGCGGATTGAATGAATCAATCCCGGCATTGGTCAAGACAACATCTTGAATGCTGAGATTTGTCAGCTTAGGGATAGATGATAAGTGGTCCAAAGATGCGTCTGTGAGGAAACCACTTTTGAGAGAGAGATGGCTCAACTCTTGGAAGCTTGATAGAGGTGGTACAGCTGCATCACTGATTTTTGTATCCTCCAAATCCAACTTTTCCAACCATTTGAGATTTTGCAGTGCTGCAAGTGAGGGGATCCAATCCGTCTCGGTGCCTACCTGTTGAATCAAACCTGAAAGTCCAGAAGAAAATTATAGAGCTGTAAACACGTTAAAAAGAAGGAGAGAAAAATAAGAATTTTCATATACTCATGGAGACAGACATATTTGGACTGTAATGTGCATGATAAACATATTCACATCCTGCAGGAGTTTAATCTGTTAACTACATGAACTCCAGGTCAAAGATCAGAACTTAAAGGAACAAGAATTTGTGAAATTTGTCAACGAGTAGATGACAAGGACCTAGTACAAAAGAAGATTGTACGAGTTAATCAATGTTATGTTTGGAAAATAGGAACCAGAGAGTAATATTTGAGATATAGGCTATGTTCCCAATAGGGATCGTAGAATCAAAGAAACAACTTAATTGGCGCATCAAGTGTGACAAAATGATGTAGAATGTTAATACAGAGAGCTTCAAATACTTTGCCCAAATCTGGTGCACATCAAGTGCGACAAACCTTTTTTTATGAAAGTTTTATTTGATTAAAACCACAACTGGCTAGGTTATTTTAAAAACCAACCAAATATGAAAACAACAGGACCAACCCAACACATCTCCAGCTCTGCTACAAGTACAAATCTACCAACACAGTGACAAAGTGAACCTTAAGTCCTAGATTGAACTTTCAATCACTCTAACCCGGTAAACTGATGATTAACATCCACATTATGTCAGATCCTCCATATTTAGAATTCAGTCATGCACTGGGAACAAAAATCATGTGAATTAGTTGGTCATTGACATTGATACTGGTACACAAGATAGTTTATATGAATGCAATGTCTAACAAATTCCTAATATGTTTTTCAAACGGTTAAAATTGTAATTTGGAAGTTGGATACTTGGTCTAAATAGTATAACTCCCAACGGCATAAGGTCTAAAATTTAGTTATCCTGTGTAGAAGCAATTACGGAAGAATATTATTAAAAAAAAAAATACCAAAAGTTAATCAAAAGCGGAATAAACTACAACAATCCCATTGCAGAATCATACCTTTAACATTTGTATTGCTAAGGTTGATAACTTTTAGTGAAGGCATCTTGCTGATACATGAGATGGCATAATCATCAACTGATGTGCAAGATAACGAAATAATTTCAAGATTGGGAACACGTCCAGCTAAAATTTCCACTCCAGCAGAGCTCACTCTTGTCTTGCTGAGATTTAAATTTCTCAACTTCGCTCCCATGCAGGTAATTAATTCAACTGAATCATCTTCCATCAAAGTAGAACTGAGGTCCAAATGGTCCAGGGCATTCATGCAAGGCAAAAAGTGGAATCCTTGAAGCGAAGAGTGGGACACATCCAAGAAGGATAGGGAACCGGTTTCAACATATAAAAAGGCTTCAGAAACATCTATGAATGTTGCTCCAGAGAGATTAAGCATCACTAAAGGAGCTTTATCACTGCACTCCTCAAATAGAGAATCAATGGTGCAATTACTCATGTTCAAGCATGTAAGAGAGGATAAATTTGGCAGCTTTGTAACCTTGGTCCAACCTAGATTCAGGAAGCTCAATTTAGGGTACATTTTAAGAACAGCGGCCCCTTTGTTAGTTATTTCACTCCCCCAAAGGTCAAGGTGTTGCAGCTTTCTCAGAACCTAATAAAATAAAAATAAAAATAAAAAAAGGTGACAATTAAGGATTTTGATCATATAACTTGGGAATAAGCACTCCAATGAAGCTGTGAGAAAATTTAGAAAGGACAACCATTTCAATGAAAATTATATATGACTGCATAAACGAAGAAACCGCTAGAAGCATACAACTAGGAAAAAAAATAATTTATATTTTACAACTCCCATGAAAGATGTATAAATGAAATATGTAAAACTGTATATAAGCGTAGATATAAAAGTTGCATCAAACGAGTGGGTTCTGGACCAGCAGCATACCTGCAACCACAAAATATTTTCTAGCTAATTTCAACACAAGCAAACTTACATAACCATCAACATTTCCTATTTCTTGAACTGACTTATCCAAAACAGAAAAGGTTTTCTATTACTTGGATAACCAGTAAGAAGAATGAGGCTAATGTTCAAGACAAAGAAAAGAGAAGAGGGAAGTTTCCGGTGTTCAAATGGTTATGTCCACCAGTTACTTAGTTTGACTGAAGATGTTATATTTTGGTTGTTGATTTCCATGTCATGTTCAACATGTCCGCTAGTTCTCTGCAGAAGACAAATATTGTTTGCAATGCTACAAGCTTACGTAAGAGTAATTAAGAGTATTTTGCATACATGTAATTACCTTGTTTTAACATATCATTAGAGCAAGAATCGATAAAGCAGACATAGCTCAACTGTAAGAAGAGGAATGCTATTTCAAATCAAGCAATCTGACAAAAGACATAACACATCGAAATTACATACCAGGAGAGAACTTAGTGCCAGATCAGTGACAGGTAAACCTCCCAAGTTCAATACAGATAAATTCGTAAGTGAAGACAGATGTGTTATCCCTACAGCTGTAACACCCGTTTCTGAAATGTGTAATTTCTCTAAAGTTGGAATTGTTAAAAGATGCTTAATGCCTGCATCAGTAACCTTAGAGCATCTAGAAATATCCAACTCTTTTAAACTAGTCATACCTGAAAGCAGGATAAAAGATGCATATAAGAAAAATTAATTCAAAAATCCAGAAATTAAATAAGAAAAAAACCCTTGCCATTTGCATTTGGAAAAAGCAATGATTTGATGTAAAAACTATGGTATGTTGAGCTCAATGAGAGTGTGTGATAGGTAGAAGCACTGAAACCAATGTCCAAAGTCCTGGTTCATACATGAATCGTCGCGCGGCTTTAGAGGGAGCATTGCATAAATAAACAAACCAAAGCATGGACATGGACATGATAAAACACCAATATACTCACACGTCAAATTCTAAAAAAGTAGGACACCGACAAGGACACTGACACGGTGTGAACACGACTATTACAAATATAAATTTTCATTTATATATCTATTGAGTAAGACAATTATAGAATTTTAATCAATTTATAATTTATATAATAAAGTTATATAAGTTAAAAAATGAAGCTATTTGATATAACAAAAAAAATTATATTGCATATCATATTGCTCTCTTATCTTGTCATTGTAGTTATGCTTTTGTTCATTACATGCTATGACATGTGTTTAATGTCAATTTTTTTATTTTTTTAACAAGAGGTTGGACACTTTGAGGTATGTTCATAACATTGTCTCAAGGCTGTCATGTGTTTGTTTTATATAAGACGGAGTGTAGGATGTGTTGGTCAAGTGTCCGGAATATGTTGACCAAGTGTCCAAGATGTGTCGGCCAAGTGTCCAAAATAATAAAAATTATTTTTAAATTTTGGACACGGCCATGAAGTGTCAGGCATGTGTCTAAGAGTGTCCATGAAGTGCTGGTGTCCAACATGGACACAACACCTTCATAGAAGTGTGTGTGCTTCTTAAATTAAGACTATTCCTCATAGTTGTAACCATCTAGAGTCTAGCATCGATGCATGGATAATTTTTTTTCCTATTACATCAATCACAGAGTCCAAAAGAGAAGCATCTCAGAAGTAGAGCAGACAGTATAATTTGAAAATGCATCAACATGCCTGGAAACATAATGCAAGATCTACTTTAATAAAAAGACAAGTCTAAACAATGATTAACCGAGCATGAACAGAGAACAAGGGTTACACAATACACACCCCTCCAACTCACGTGGTTAATGACCACATTTTGCTTAAATTGTTAGAGCTTTATCATCTTCAACGAAAATCCTTTTAAGAAAAATAATTAGATGATGCAAATCAGTATTTCATGATGATTAAAGTGATAGCTGCAAACGCATGAGAAAGATGAAATTAGCTCCTACTAATCTATAGCCATTGATGGAGAAAAACAAATAGAAAAAACTAAAACAATGAAAAAACACTAAGCAAAATTATTCTGTCCTCAAATGCCATTAATAGTATCTCATCCGACCCAGCCAGCTTATTTGAAAAGGATACCGAAGAGTGCATACCTGCAAGAGCCCAAAGGGCAGAACTATTGATTCTATGGCAATCTGCAACATTTAATGAACGCAGGTACCGAAATGCACCTAAGTACGCCATCCATTCCGCATCTACAGATCTCTGGCCTCTCAGATCAATATCCTCTACATTGTATTTGAAAACTCTACAAGAGGAAGTCTAGTTTAGCTGGTTTTGGAAGACAGCATAGCAATTCAGGAAAGGAATAGAGTATGTCCATTACTTTAAATACATCAGAATATGTAAATCTCAAGCTTAATAACTTCATTGAGACCATTAAAAGCACCATGTTCTAACAAAATCACCAGTCAGAAAAGGAATAATAATCATTTCCAGTCAGATAAGGAATAATAATAATTTCTCATAAGAAATCAATAGCAACTCCAATTAAATAGATCTGGAACAAAGAAGAGCTGTTAAAATCCAAATTTTGTGTGAATAATTCAATCCTTGCAAAATAAATTCAACAAAGCTTGTATCTGTGTATTATATGTAATCACCGTTGATCATACAGACAAATTCATATAAAATTACATTTTTCGTAATTTTGTACATCTAAATCTCAATCATAACTCTCAGATCGTACAAAATATTCAGAATAACAATGAGCAAACAAAGATCCAAAGTTTCATTCAACAATTCCATCCTTACTTCTTACGAGTGTTTCTATGTATACACACTCAAAATTCACATTAAATTCCAGTTACTGTACTTATCAAAAAAAAAAAAAAAATTCCCACTTACTGTATATAACAATTACAAATCTGAGCAAACCAAATTGAAATACAAGTGATTAACAAACAGTTATTCACAGATGATAAATATTGCATATATAGAGAATTCCTGGAAATGAGAATTGATCAAAGCAGATAGTTCATCAAAGAGTGTTAGAGACCTACTCAAAGAGAGAAGAGTAGATGAGGCAGGAGTGTCCGACTGTAGTTTGGTTCTATGGAAGATTCAGAAAAACAAAGAGCTATCAGAGATCCGTTGAAACTATTCAATCCTTACTCCAAATGTGTATATATATGTATATGTATATAATCATGATGAGCGTCAAATTCACGTTGAATTCCAGTTCTTGTATAACAACTCCAAATGTGAGCAAATCACATAAAAATACAAGCGAAGATGATATATATGGTATGTATAGAGAGTTTTTGAGTTTTTGGAAATGAATATAATTGATCAAGCATATAGCAGTGAGTGTACAAAGTCATCGCAGAGAGTTGGTCATCTACTCAAGGAAAGTAGAGGAGCCGGCGACTGTGGTTTGATTATACCGAAGATTCAGAAAAACAAAGAGCTATCAAATCCAATTTTCCAGGTAACAGTTCCATCATTACTCCAAATGTATATTTATATATACACATGCAAATTTATATTAAACGATACAATCAATTACACATTGAATTACATTATCTGGAAATTACAGCTTCAAATTTGAGTAAATCACATCAAAATACAAGCGATTCACAAACAATTATTGGTAGATCATACAAAGTATATATTTTATATATAGAGAGAGAATTCTTAAAAACGATTTGAATTGATAAAGCTGAAAGTGGTAAGGAGTGTGCAAGTGACCTACTCAAGGAGAGAAGGATGAAGGAGGCGGCGGCGGAGGAGGCGGTGGAGGAGAGCGTCGGCGAGCTGAGAGGGCATGCGTTCGAGAGTGCGCCGCTGTCTCCGCCACGTCTCGACGGCGTCTCTGCTCTGCGACGCAGCTTCGATGCAGAGGAGAACCAAACAATTCTCCATCGTATCTTCTTCGCTCGCCATGGCTATGGGAGTCTCTTCTTCTGCTTCTGTTCTTGATCTGAGAGGGATTCTGATCTGAATGACCACCTGTCTAGATGTTAGGGCTTTGATTCATTGAATGTCAAATGTTTCCTTTAAATATATACAGTACTTGGCACGAAAGCAATAATGTACAAAATGAACAAGTTAGATACGGAGTAAAATACTTGCAATTACTTGAAACAATTCATATTTCATTTTTACATCATGATTAAATTGTACTTGAAGATACTGTACCACTTTATGCATGTAATTCTTGCCCCCAAAAAACGAGAGAACAAGATACAATAATTTTTTTTAAAAATATGCAATGTATTTATGTTGAATATACAACATTAATATAAAACCAAAAATATATATATAAATGCATTCTCACTCTTGTTCAATGGAGATAATCATTTTCCTCTTATAAGTTGTGACTTTTTAATTAATTGTAAATTTTTATTATGGCAATTTTTGTGTATTTAATTTTGAGTTTTTGTATACTTGTAATTGAGGGTACTAAATGCACATTTGGATAGTTTTTCTATTATTTCACACACCAATTTTGTCTTAACAATAGTAAAGGTCTTAGCACAACGAGAAGAAAAAAATTAAATGAGTTGGTTGTAGTGATGACATGATATTTACAGATTATTAAAATATTTTCGTATAATGATAGGACCTATAAAAATAAAATATTTTTACATATGTAATTTGATAAATATTGAAGGTGTAAGAAAGTTAAACACATTATGAGAAAATAGTGCAACTCCAAAATTGATTGTCCATCAAAGTTAATAAATACATAATTCCACAATTATTTTGATATTCAATTGGTGGATTGCACTCTATTTTTTATGTTTTGTGATTCAATGGCAAATGGTGCGACAATAAACAGCATTGGTCACGTGAAAGTTTGATTAAAAATTAATAAATGTGACTTTAGTATGTTCTGCTTCATAACTGATGGCAATGCCATAATTTTACACATCATTAAAATTTTAAGCGACAATGAATGTCAAATTATTTGATATCAAATAGGAGTATTATATGTATTTCATTATTATGTTATTGTAACAAAATCAAACACATCCGCATAAAATTGACAAAAAGAGATTTTCTTTTTTTTTTTTAAGAGAAAAGGGGAAGAGTAACCCAACCACTTGAACAACACGGCACTAATTAAAAATTAAAGTACGGATAAATTGAAAGGTATCTTTCCAGAAGTTATAACAGAGAATGCAATAACTAAAACAAATTATACTCATAAGATAAGAATCTCAATAGAGTATTATCTTATTCATGAATGAAATAAAAAAGTTTACTATCTTCTTCATGAATCAAATGAAAAACCAGGAAGGCATGTTATGTGGTTTCACAAACTAAAGTCTACAACTTAAAAAAAAGAAAAAAAACAAAAAACCTCAAGGCTGTTCTGAAGTAAAATGAAACAAAAGGCTTGTTGAATTTTAATGTGAAGTGACTCTCTTTCACTTCCTAAATCCTCATTCTTCCACAATCTCTCTCATAACTCAATCTACTTAACTAATGAATGAAGTGGGAGACAGAGAGGATGAACAATCCTTGTTAACCTGACTATTCACTCCTTTCTTCCTCTTATATCTAACCTAAACCTCTTTAAAACCCCACTAATTCCAAATCAAGAACTAACTAGAAACTTCCAATGCAATGAAATATCACTGCACGAGATATTTGTGACAGTCCTTTAGGACAACCTTTTTAGGCACGGTCCTTGATTTACCGTCCCTAAAAGCAAAAATCCAAATTCTTACTCCAGAATTCATTGCGGGAAAAATTAGCGCCAGTATCTTACTAAAATGAATTTTTTTTTTTTTTTTAATAAAAATTAAATATAAAATGGGCTTTAGGGACGCTAAATGGACTGTCAATAATTCTCCCTTTGTATAAACCCATTGACTACCCTCTACATGTCTCACTTTGTTCTCTCTCGCGGTGCCCTAGCTTTCTCCTGTCGCCCCCTTCTCTCGAAGTCTGAAGACTACCGATGCCGATGGCCTTATATATCACTCACAAACATTTGGTTTGTTTCAATCCGTATTCCACATCAGATCATTCGGTTCGATTCAATCTCTTTGTTTACAGTTGAAGCCCTAATACCTCACTCTCACTCTCACTCTCACTCTCACTCACATTCGGTTCAATATTTGTATTGGACATCAGATCGAATTGCTCCAGGTATTTCTTTCTCTTTATATATGTCGATATGGTTCTTGATGTTGTGAAAATTAATTTTTTTTACTTCAGGCGACTTGAGTTTGCAGCTTGCTATATAAGTTTCTTTGTTTAAGGTAATTTTTCAAAAATCACGTGTAACAGTTCTTCAACCTTTTACTAATTAAGGCAATTAATATAGATGATATTGTTATGGATCGGCAATTTCATTGTGAATAATTGCAAAAGGCCCTAACAATAGAAGGGAGAAATTAATAATTTGTAATTGAGTTGTAAATTTTCAAGGCAGCTCTTCCATATTGATTTTTCATAATTTGCAAGATTATTGTCAGCACAAATTCTGTGTTTGTGTCAGAAGTGAAACGAAAAAATGACAGTGTATGTAAACAGTTGGATTTCTTATCTTGGGCACACTTTATAAGGTCAGTTGATTGAGCCCCAAGTGTTATTTCGGGTACCTATTAATTACCTCCTAGAGATAATTCCTTGTTTGTTATTGCTTCAGTTCTTAACCTCTTAAATTGTTTTCACATTGTTCTAATCTTAATTTTTAAATTGTTTGGCAGATAAAAAAATGATATATAGTTTCTATTGTATTTCCCTTTCTTAGTGCTAAGGAACCTCACATACAAATTATTGTTTACAATTTCAATCTTTTGTATAACAAGTGGATAGTATAAACTATAGATGATTTTTACCCACATTTGGTACGTTCCAGTGCCTATCCCACCTTGCCAATTTGCCATCCATGTTGGACCAGAGGATTTTGGTTGTTGGGTGTGGGAATTTTGGTATGGAAGTTAGCTTGGACCTCTGTAGACACTTTGCAAGTCCTCACATAGTGGTTAGAAGCACTGTATGTTCTCTATTTTAGTAACTTTTTCAATACATTTTTTTATTATAAATTTTGTCAATTCTCAATTTTGGGTATTTAATAAAAACAATTTTTAGCAGTTCAAATCACTTATGTACGAAACCCTTATTTCAATTAAAGAATGCACTGCCTGAATATGCTGTAGTATTTGCTCAAAAGTAATTATTATAAACCAGTAGTTCAGTGCAAGTCTCCTTTTATATTTCTAAAAATCCATCAATTTCTTCAAAGCTTATGAACAAGACTTCGGCCTAACTTGGTTGTACTCCTACTTCTCATGCTATCCACATCATGAATGCCTTTTTCTGCCCAATTAATTCACATATATATGAAAATATTTGGTTTGTCAAGATTGGGAGGTCATGAGTCTTAATTGACAATTTATTCTTTATATTCCATTTTTTACACAGGTTGCATGTGCATTGGTTATGGCAGGTGAGAATCTAGACAACCACATTGATGTAAAGAATGTTCTTGTTGAGACGGGGACATACTTTCAAGTACAGGTGATTGTTTGTGTTATATACGGAAACAAAAACTTCTCATACAGTTCTTCTATTTCGTTATGGTATGGTTAGAATTTGGCACAGGAGAAGAGTAATAAATTTGTTGCACTGAAATTAGGTTTGCTTCATTGTGGTTGGTATTACACTTTTTCCAATCGAAGTGTAGTTAGAATATACATCAAATTTGCACAAGTTTATTATGATTGCCTTAAAAAATTATGAATTAGTTATATACCGTTCAAGCATAATTCACATTTTGGTGGATAATTAAAATATAACATTGAAGGGCATGTAGGATTGTTGTAATAAAGTTCCCTCCAGCACTGGTACTTCACTTACTTTAGAATTGTACATGCAACTCAAATCTCTTTCTCTCATAAAGGTTTTCTTGTGTCCATGTCGGTGATATGCTTTCTGCTACTTTTGTAGGATGATTATCATTGTTTTGGTGAACCGGAAAAGATTGGTAAGGTGAGCTTCAGCATGATGGATAATTGACATATGACCATGTAATATTCTTAAAAATCAATGTTTTAGTTGCTATGAGTTCTTATTGAATCTTTTTCATTATCAGATTGGAACGGATATTGAAGATTTTAAGTGTTCTTGGTTGGTTGTGAAAGCATTGGAACATTGTACTGAAGGACAGAAGAAATTGTTATATGTAATATGGCAATTCTTTCTTATTTTTGTGTCATTTTTGGATTTGCCTATTGACTGTGTTTTCTTTTCAGGAGCACTATGGGAAATCAGATCCAGCTGATGTTACGAAAGTAAAGGCCCTCTACAACTAGTCATAAATTTGTTCATTTAGGTGTGTTCCAAATTGTAATTATTTTCATGTGGGTAACTATTGAATTTGATACTTTTAAGGTAAAATTAATATTATTTATGTACAAATTTGTAGATTTCTTCATATGGGTATGTCTGATTTTTTTTAATCCTAACTTTGTTGTTACTTGTTACAGGTGCATGCATTGCCTAGAGAGATGTTTGGCTTTTCAACTTTTGGAATAGCAGTGGCACTTTTGGAAGATGTAAGAGAGATCACAAGAAATGGGGCAAAATTTGTGGATGGACAAGAGAGAGAGTATCTATTAATCATGTTGCAATTCATGGAGTTTCATGATTTTTAAGCACCATCTCTGATTGTTATTTTTAAGCACCATCTCTGATTGTTATTTTTAAGCACCATCTCTGATTGTTATTTTTTACTAGTATGTCATTTTTATGTCTTCTTTCCTTATTTATTTATTTTTTTCCTCCGTAGAAAATCAAAGAGTGGAACCAATGAATTAGTTTATATTCACCGGCATGAACCTGACTTTTGCGAATTGTTCATAATAAGTGGTGGGAAACTTGTTCCCTCGAGAGATGAAATTAATTAAGAATTTATAGAGGATGATAAATGACTAGTGGTAGCCAAGAGATGAGAGACGGTTAGTTTCGAAGTCTTGCTCGGAAAAATGTTTCCTGAAACTACTAGTGAAAAATTTCTGGATAAAGGACTCTATTGTTGCCAATCTAGGATTTTTTCATGGTTTGCAAACAAAAATTAGAAGTTTAGTTGCAATTAATTTTGTTTTTTGACTTTGGGAAAGTTATATTTCAATTCATCTTTGAATCTTGATTGTAGTGTTATTTAGTTAGTAAGTTAATATATGATTAGTAGTTTTTGGGAAAATTTCCTTTCATTAATGGCTTAGGTCCAATTATGAATGGTGGTGTGTGCTATTAAATTTGGTCATCATTTAAAAATCAATTTTAATTCTAAAAGACGTTTTTATCCAAATTGCAGGATCAAATGGTAGAAAAGTCTTCATAAGCTGCTTTAAATTCTGATGGCACCATTCCAAAAAAAAAAGATGCAGTGATAATGCATAACCAGCTCCAACATATGCTCGTGGGTTTTCACATGGCTTCATGGTTGCAAGTTCTTCAAGTTGTCATCTTTTATCTTATGAAGAGGCTGTTATTCACCTTTCAGTGGAAGTCACAACCACTCGAATGACGAACATGGTTGTCTTTTCTTTAGTCAATTGAATATTTAAGACATTTGAATTTTTGCTGAATATTTGGTTAACACTGTATTTTCTTTGGTTAATAACATGTGTTTAAACATTTTATCACAATGAATTATAAAGAGAATTTTTTTGGTACATATGATTTTTTTGGGCTGCATGCATTTGGTTTAACATGACGTTTTAATTTTTGAGGATGTTTGGAACCATTTAATTTTAATATATATATAACAACACAAATCCAGCATAACAAAGAAAAATAAAATAAAAGAAAATAAAATGTATTAAGGATAGTATCTATTGTCCCTAATACAATGTGTAATCAGGGATAGTACTCAAAAACTGTCTCTAATATATAAATAAGGATGGTATTATTTGGGACAGTACGTCCATCCCTAAAGGTTGAATTTTTTGTTGACGCCGGACGAATTCAATTATTAGGGACGTCTTGGGCCTTTTAGGGACAGATTGGACTGTCGCTAAAAACCAAATTTCTTGCAGTGATATATATCTTTCAAATGAATCTTGTATAGCTGCACAATCGTAACATGACAATCACTGCGGAAATCGTGTGGACTCTCTGTCATATCTTCTTCCTTAGACCAAAGTGTAACTTGAGACAGACACATCTGCTGGAGAAGCTGAATGAATGTAGACAAACTCGATGCTCTTTCCAGCATCTAAAGAGTTGATCCACGCTGGAAAGACATACGAATTGTCAGACTTCGTGAGGCCCCAAAGAGGACCATAGAGCTTGGATATCGAAAGCTTGAGACCCTTCAGAGTTTTTGCAGATTTGTTGGTCACAATTGTGGAGTATCTGTAGTACGTTTTTCCCTTCCAATTCCATGAAGTTGTCATCTTCTGCTGGATAGCAATTGGAGCAGAAGATGAAACTGCAAAACATGGTATTACATTAAATTTACTAATTCATAGTATTTTCCTAGAGCCAAAATATCTGACAAGTTAGTGGGAAAAAAAAATGCCCGACCAATGGATAGTCATGCTTTTTCTTGAAAACTCCTCATTTCTCGTGTATCAAGGTAAATTGAGAGTTTTCATGACTGTCCATTGACCGGGGGTATAAAGAGATCCAATTTTCAGAATAGGTGCAAAAGAGTACCTGGAGCAGGCGTGGTTTTGGTTTGTGGAGCTGGATTTGGTTTGGTAACAACTGGTTTAGGAGATGGAACCACCACTGTTTATAGCATTGAACATTATAAGCTAACATAGAATGCTTAAGTTAAATAAACAAGATCAAAAGAACTGTGATATTAAGTTAAATACCGGGAAGAAGCTGGTTATATCCACTGTGACCACTGTTTAGTCGTGCCAATACACCGAGAAGGGGAGCATTGTTGTAGGTAGCAGGCTCTGTTTGCTCATAATTGTCTCTTCCATCGACGAAGTTGTCATAGGCATCAGGTCCACCAACAATAGCACCGGTAAGGAGATTAGGGTCACTCGCCTTCCTGCTAAACCAAGTGGCATAACCTTCCCGGCAACTAACAAATGAAGGGTCAACCTTGGTGGAGACGATTGAGGAAGCGCGGTGGTGAACTTTTTGTGGGTAGTTGCTTCCATACCCCACCATGTAACTAGTGGCTCTTGGGTTGTCTCCAAGAATATAGTCCACCTAAGGTTTCAAACATTGCAAGAGTTATAAACTTGTACATTCCATAAGGTAGGCCTATTTCTCAAGAATCAATTCCATGACTCATATGGTTTAAAACTCAATTCCTAACAAGACTATAACTAGTTGGATAGTGGGAACATATGGCATTCGAGTCCTTCAATTAATAGGTTTTACCTGAGATTTAGCGAATGACAAGAGCTCAGATGGTCCCACACTGCCAGCAGCACAGTTCGTGTTTTTGCCAGCAGAGGCCAGATAGTCTGAGTAGACTGTGAGTAGGAAAGAGGCACTGGTCACAAATTGCAGATTGTTCCAACTCTGTCGGAAAATGAGGCCTCCGGGAGTCTTCTGCACATTTTGAGTGCCCTTCCCGAGGCACGAACACATGAAAAACTCTGCCTTCTGCTGGTATTTTTCAAAAACTGGTGCATACTGACCAGCTTTCCCTTGCATTAGCAACTGCAAGCAAATACAAGTACTTATCAGAACCACAAAAACACTCAGGTTTCGTATGCTTGTGCTATGTTATGCAATTCTATGAATCGTTGCTAGAATTGAATATTTCATGATATTATGAAACAATTATTCCATGATATTCCTATTGAAAATATGTCATATGATTCAAACTGTCCGATTAAAAGAATGAATGAACTTGAAACACTTCGGAAATTTTTTACCTTGGCAACAAGAGTCTGAACACCAGCATACTTGACATCCCATCCGAACTCTGTCATGGCCCAACCAGTCCCACCAAGTGCATCACCATTGTTGCCAAGGTAGTTCAAGTAATACTGATTGTCAGTTGCCTCGTACAACCATGCTGCAGCCCACAACAGCTCGTCCTACCGACATCAAAATTTGGATTAATGACATGCATTATTAATATTTATGAGTTTAAATGTATTATACATTGTGTTAAACATATTGGCGAATATCTCAAATACAAAATCGTGTCTAAGTACCGGATTTATCAAATATTCAAACTAATTAAAGAGACACAGATATTGTATATGCAACATTTAACAGAGCTACCTCAAAGGGCTTATAGCTCAACCAGTCTTCTTTTTTCTTTCAAATGGAAGATGGCTTTGTTCAATTTAAACGGAGGATGTAACACTTGTGCAACACATTTTAATCACTTCGCTCGAGATACAAACATTACACTACCTTAGAATCTAATATGTAACACTTCTTTTTATTGTTATTGTTGCATCATCGATTAATTGATGGTGTACATTCGATTTAATTATATTGCTCGGTGTTGTATCCTCAACTTAATTGTAAGAGTATACAAATGTGTACCGGAATGATTTGTGTTCCTTTTGACTAAGAAAATTCACAAGTCCATTAAATGGGTAGTTAGAAAGCGCTATGATCACTTACGCCATATCCACTGACAGATCTGTAGTATTTCTGAGCCACTGTAATGCTGCTATCATATTTGCCCCTGTATTTGTCAGCAAACTCGAATAGCTGTAAAACAAGAAGAAACAGCAATAAACTTAAAAGTTCATTTACGAAGATAACATCATATTTAGAGGGTAAAATTGAGAAAGAGGGGTTGAGGAGAGGGTGAGTAGCTGAAATCCAGAAATTTGATGTAAAATAATCTCAAGGCCTTTTCAAAATACAGTATTTTAGGGAAGTACATAAAATTTTTCAAAATAAAAGAGGTTGATTGGAAATAAAAGAGGCTCATTTTCAAGTGAAAGTTTGCTAATATTCCCAATCATTAATCGAGTTTCAAGATAAACTAGTTCTGATCGGAAACTATACCTAATGCTACATCACCAAGCTATTCAATATGAAACTAAGTTAGTGGATAATCATTGTCCTATTTCATGATATATTTGTTAAAGAAATACTATAATGACAATATTCTCACACAAATTCGAAAATACAAGTTCACTGTGAGCTCGAGAATGCAAGAATGCAATTCAGTATAAGAACGGTTTCATGACAGGACTGTCGCATTTTTTCTATTTCAGTTACATGAAATTGGTGTTTTAAAAATGAAATTACAACCTACACAAAAAAGGGACTGCCTAGTAGGTGTGTGAAAGTCTACCTAACAAACATAATGACAAGGGTCTTGTTTATACAAAAGGCTGTAGCATTGTGTTAACAATTTGTGGAGAGAGCGTCTAACCTGCTGGGCACGGGTGAGGAGTTCATTGGCATAGGAAGGGTTTTGGTGGCGGAAGACGACAGAGGCTGCAGCCATGGCCGCGGCAGTCTCACCGGCGAGGTCGGATCCAGGATTGCTGGGGTCAATCTTGTAAGCCTGCCGTGAGGTGGTCATGTCCTCCGGTCTTTGCCAGCAGTAGTGGTCTGTGTTCCCATCCCCTACCTGATCACATCAAACCAAAATATTACTATATATACATCACATCACATATTTTTGGCCTTCTAGTTTCACTTGGGGAGAAATTAATCCCATTGAAGAGGACAAAGTAATACAGAAAGAAAAAACCACAAAAACTAAACTAAGAATGCCTTGTTTTCATGAAACTTTCATAAATGGGTTGAAGTCTAGTAAAGTAATGATAGGACAATTTTTCTGACCATATGACACATCAGACTAAATTTATGTGAGCAGCCTCATGATACATTATCATATTTTATAGTGTCATGATGATGTCATTCTCCACTCACATAAATTAATAGGATGTATCCGACTGATACGTTATCATATTTCATGATGTCATGATAATGTCATTCCCTACTCACATAAATAAGTAGGATGCTTCCGACTTTCAAACTACTTATTATTATTCTTTTTTCAATTATGGAAGATACTATTTTTTTCCCGATCAACGATGGTGGTGTCAGCTTGTCAGAAATATTAGGAATTGCTTGATACACATGCATTACAATTACTAGTTTCTGAAAACAATCAAAATATATTTTGCTATTGATTAAAACACCCACACTGCAGCTAGATGGTATCAAGTTGAGAGAGAGAGAGAGAGATCAAAGACAAGTAATGGGACTATTAGTACCTCTCCATAGAGAACATGGGGTTGGGGATGAGCTTTAATGAGGTAGTCAGTGCCCCACTTAACAGCATCAATGGCATGACTTAGCTCACCACTTGCACCCAATTGCTTGCCATATTCAATTATGCTCCATGACATCATTGTAATTGTGAATGCCATGGGTAGCCCAAACTTCACATTGTCCCCTGCATCATAGTACCCTCCAACCAAATCCACCTACACTAGGAGTAATTCCCAAGATCAGTACAAATTAATTCACACCATCAATTTCTCAAAATCATTAAAAACATGTTAAATTTAATATAGAAATCAACGGGCATTAGTTCAGATGATATGATCACTCTTCTCCAAATGTGATGTACCCTATATGGATGTTGAATATTCGAGTCCAACTGTGAAGCCAACCACAACTGAGAATGTGCAGGGAGAGTTGATAGCACTACTCTATGAGTGTGACTACGTTTACTTGAATAATGCGAAATTTTTATTAATTTGAATGGAATATTAAAAACTCTACTGATTTTCTCACATACCCAAATGGAATATAAAGTATTGAAAGGGAAACATGAATTGTATAATGGTGAGAGATTCAGAGGAACTTACTCCATTAGCCTTGCCATCATTTAATCCAGAATTACCCCTCCAATGGACTCTCTGGTTATCGGGAAGGTAACCAGATCTCTGAGCTTCAAAGAAGAGAATGCTCTTACTGAGAGCTTGGCCATAGTCATGGCCGGCAAAAGCCAATGGAAGAAGCAGAAACAGAGGAGCAATAGAACAGAGTCTCACAAACATCTCCATTCAATGTGTGAAAAATTAAAGGTTTTCAAAGAAGGAATGAAATCTTCAGTTAATAAATAGGGGCTGTGTTATATTAACAGAGGGCAATGTTGGTATGATTTATCAGCTAAAACTTCTGATAAATCACCCAGAACAGAGTGACCCTTGAGAGAGAGAGAGAGAGAGAGAGAGATGGATTGAAGGAAGGGAAGGAGCTACAGCCACTATATATGGTGGAGGGAAAGAATGTGCCAATTGCACATAAAATAGCAGGGCCTAATATATCTAGTTTTTTATAATTTAATATATAAAATAAATTATTTCATATGCACTTTTTCTATATTGAGGGGCTGTCTTCGATTGAGACTTGAGAGAGAGCAAAATAATGTGGATTTAGAGAAATTATTAGATACCATGTGATTTGAGATCCCATACGATAAAAAAGAATTTTTTTTTTAATAAAACTCACACTAATTGCATGATAGCTTCTCATTATTGTGAAATTAAACAGAAAATAAGTTATAAGGACACACAAGAAGACCACAGATTTTTATGTAATTCACCCCCAAAAATTAAGGTGATGTCCAACCGTCATCGTGATTTTACTATGAAGATTAAAAGAACAAAGAATAAATAACCTTACATTAGAGTAACATAATATAGTACAAAAATTATCAACATACACCAATACATAAATTTAGAAGAGTTGAGCTTTGACGTATAATATATAACAGGCTCCATACTATTCATCATTGATTAACCAGGATCATATAGTTTTAGAAGTATATCCTAATTTTCTTATGAAAACTCTTTTTAGAAAGTGCAATTAAATAATAATTTGTTTTAAAAAAAAAAACTATTTTTTATAATTTTTTGAAAACGATTTTATATTTTCCAAATATTTACAGAATATTTTTTAAAAACTGAATAAAAAAATACCTAAATAACTAAGCTAGCTTCGACCAATGTTTTAAAATACTAACTTGACGAAACAACCATGGTCTACGCGAGGAACAGGGACTAGTAACATGTGCGATATCATTCATGTGTTCTGTCGTCATTAAGCCCTTTGCAGGGGCAACATCCCCAATAACTTAAAGAACCTCTAAAGCAGATTCTAATCCGTTTCAGGAAGATAAGACCATCATAAATATGGAAAAGGAATATCACAACCCTACTTATTTTAAATAATGATTTTGGAATATAACAAGGGTCCCTATACGAAACAATAAACCTCTTTTGAGACATTTTTGATAAAATTAGAACGATCTTTATGACCGAGAAATTTGTAGTTGGTCCTTGGTAATTATCATTGGACACGCAAGGAAAAAATTTAATAAAATTTACACATTTTAGACACAGTCGCTTACGTGTTCAATGGTGGTCTGAACCAGTGCCGAAAATGACAAGTCATTTCAATTAAAAATAATAATAAATAATTCGAAAATTGAATGAATCTTAATGCAAATGTACTCTTTATCTTTGTACTAATTCTCTTACAGAGTATTATTTTTTCTAAATATACATTCAGCTTTTGTTATTTTTGGAAATTTTAGCTTAAAATATTATACCATAGAAAAATCTTACCATAAGATTCTGAGTAATGAATACTGAATTAGGGATCGAAATTTATAAGTGGACATTGTGACGTCATGTGATAAGACCCACCAAGACCACCACCCTTCTCACATATTGCTAAATTTGATCCTTAAATCATTACTATAAAAATTATTAACATCTAATTCCCCCAAATATATAATTTGTGTATTAGACACCTAACCTTTCAATTGTAAAATGTAATTCATTGAAGAATAGCAGTGGAGAATCAGAATGTCTATAGAATATTTAAAGGTGTTGTTTGACTCTTCCAGTTGGCTCCTCTGGGTAGAACATGCATGTCCAATTAATCACAATTTCAAAATGTATGGGACTGAATTTCAACACTTGGCGTCAATCAAGCTTTAGCTACATTCAATTCTGGTCCAGACTGGACCCATGCCCTGTGTGCGAGCCAATCACGCCCATGTGGTGCGCAGGACCTACATTTATGTATTTTTCTAAATGAGCCAATTGTGCCACCATTATGACCAAATTATTTTTTCTTTAGTTCAGTTTACACTTCTACATTAAAATAAAAAATACAGTAAAAAATTTCAAAGCCTACCCAAATCCAAGCGACCAAACCGCCTCATTAACTGTAATAGTTTTTGGGCCCAATGCTTTTATGCTGTCAGTGACTCAGTATTCATCTATAACTAACTAAACAAAAGAGTAAATTGCACTCCTATCCCTGAAGTTCGGATTAAAGTCATTTAGCGGTACGTTGACGCACTAATTTACATTAACATTTTTTGAAGTTTTAAAAGTCATATTTTTTCCTGAACATGTTAATTGACAAAATAATCCTAATAATATTCCTAATCCCTTCCCACCCACCATCACCACACCCATACACTGCCACACCCGCACAACGCCACACCCACCGCCATCACCACAACCACTGTCACACCTACACCGCCATAACCACAACCACCACCAAGATTCTCGCTATATAGCAGCAGCGCCATCACCGACACCACAACCAGTGCCCTAAACCACTGCTGCCACAACCACATGCCACACCCACATACTGTCACACCCACACGCACTTCGACTCGACTCCAAAACCCTATTCCAAGAAAACCTCTTCTTCGATGGCACCGCCTCCAATCTCTCCTCCAACCTCGTTGTCCTTCACCTCCGCTTCTACAACCTCGATTCCCTCTGCGTCCTCTCCCTCAAGGCGAAACCCCAAATCTCTACCAGAATCAGCCGCGTCGAGAAGGACGAAGAGCAAATCGACCCTGTCCTCGGCCACGCCTGCGTTGTCGAACCTTGGAGAATAGAGATGTATTGTGTAAGGTTAGAGAGAGAATGTAAAATGAAGGGTATTTTAGTCCTTCAAAATTTAGTTTACAAGGTTATATTAGTAGTTTATACTTTTCATGTATTTATTGACCAAGTCAAAGGTTAAAATAGTCTTTTTCTCATGTAGAGGGAATGTGTATGAACACTTTTGAAACCTCCGGGGTGTCAATGTAAACTAGTGCATTAACTGTCCACTGAGTGACGTTGACTCAAACATCAGGGAGTGTGAGTGCAAATTACCCAAACGAAAAATTATAGATGTTCTAATCCAATTGTTAATTGCCACGTAATAAAAATATAAGTTTATGTCAATTTTATTTCATATTTGTGCGTGAATTGATAATTGATCAAAACTATATAATAATTGCTATTTTGGCACTTTACCACTAACTTAGAAAACAATGCTGGTTGATCATGGTTGATAAAAGGGGTGGCAATTGGGCGGGTTTGGATGGGTTTTGGGCGAGTTTGGAATGGGTTATGTATGAATAAGTTAGTACGTAATCCATTCCTAACTCACCAATAGTGGGTCATAAATAGGTAAGAACTCAAATGGACGGGTCAAAACGGGTTAACCCATTCCAACCCGTATTTTTAATTTTTAATTTTTAATTTTTTTTTTTTTTTTGAAATTTTTTTACTTTCCTACCATCTATGGCTAAAATAATAATAATAATAATAATTTATTCTTACATTAATTTTTTTTATTTCAAGCATTACAATTTTTTTTTTCCTTTGGAAAAAGTCACTATACAACTTAATCAACAATGTTAATTAATTTTTTTTATTTCAAGAGTTACAATTTTTTATTTTTTATTTATTTTGGGAAAAATCACAATACAACTGAATCAACAATAATTAATTTTTCTATTTCAAGAGTTACAATTTTTTATTTTGGGAAAAGTCACTATACAACTTACTCAACAATATTAATTACATATATTTAAAAAAAAGAAGTTTTGAGCAAAAGTTTAATTAATTGTTGGTCATTTATTTTAGCGAGGAGAGAGAATGCAAGGAAAAAAAAAAAAAAAACTGGGAAAAAAAAAAAAGAAAAGAAAAGAAAGGAAAAGAAGAGAGAAGAAAGAGAAACGGAGGAGAGACAAAAAAAAAAAAAGGTGAAAAAAATGAAAAAGATAAAAGAGAAGGAGAGGCAGAAAATGGAAGAGAGAGAAATGGAGGAGAAACAAAAGAAGGTTTTGTTTGAGTAGGTTAAAATAGGTACTCACGTTTTACTCATTATTATCCATTCACTTAAATTTAAGTGTCCAAATAATTTAATTTTAGTGGGTGGGGTTTTGAAAAGTTTAATGGATTTGGACTTAAATTATCACTCCTAATTGATAACAACCGCTCTCAAGAGTTCAACATTAAACTTTAATGTCCCTAAATTCAACAATTATATAACTCTATAGCCTTTCATATTTTAAATTCTAATGATTATAATATAAATTCCATTAAACTTTCTAACTCATAACAACTAATTATCAAAAGAAATAGAAGTCAATAGCCAACAGAGTTAATTAAGAGTTCGAAGCTAGTTTAAATTTTTTTCCCTTCATCCTTCCAAGCAAGGCATTAAACAAGTTTTCTATATATGAAGCAAAAGAAGAAGTAATAGCATGCATCTAAGTATAGGAGAAAAGGCATCTATGTTGTTACGTGGTAGCAGTTTGGTCCAATTGCCCTGCCTCGTCAAGTGGCAAATTGAAGCAAAAAATTTATGTTATGGGTAGGGATGGCAAATTCCCATCCCAACGGGCCCCACCCCGCCCCACTCCATTCCTTTTGGACGTAATTTTGGTGAACCGATTATGTAAATGAAAACGAAAATGGAGATTGTTTTAAAAAACTCGGTGGGTTTTGGGGAACGGTTGTCCCGCTCTTTCATGAATATACTATAATATATTACTAAAATATGTTAAGTATATATATTAGGGATGACAAAAATTTCCATTTCAATGACCCCACTCCGTTTGAGATGGTTTTGGAAACTGATTATGTAAATGGAAAAGGGAAATAGGGGCTGTTTTGAAAAATTGGAAAAGTTTTGGAGTTGACCCGAGGGTTTTTGGTGGAAGAGAGAGAAGGGAAGAATGATCTTTATGAAGAGAAAAGAAAAGGGGAGAGATAAGATAGACATGTAGCAGTTTAAGAAAGTTTGTTGGGGGTGTATTTTGTCATTTCAATTTAATGAAAGAATTATTGGAACACTAAAGTGTTTTTTCGGGGAGTTAATATCACCACCTTATAAATGTTATTGACTAATAATAGTAAAACAAATTAAAATTTTTTCATTTCTTTTCTCTTAACTAATATG